CCTGGATTAAATCTGAGGTTCCAAATCTTGGCCTGATCCTTGATTCAGATCTAAGCTTCCAGTCCAACATTAAAAGGTGACGAACGCATCATTTTCCCACCTCAGAAACATAGCCAAGGTACGACCATTTCTAAATGAAAAAGATGCAGAAGAATTGATTCATGCCTTAATTTCAAGCCGCCTTGACTACTGTAACACACTTTTTATTGGCCCCCCGAAAAACAAAACTGAGAGACTTCAGCTCATCCAGTAGCTAATAAAACTCTGTGATTTTATGAATGAGATAATCCATGATTTAAACTGTTTTAAATGTCCCTTTATATTGAATTGCCTCACCTTATTGTAAAGAACTTGGTGCTGCATTTCTTGTATGAAAGGTCACGTACAGGCCTCCATAATCAATATGTGGAACGTTTGATACTCTGTTTCTGTACCCCTACGTTCACCTTACCCCACCCATAAAGGGGTGTCTACCGCCTTACCTCTCCCCTGTTGCCGTTGTGCGCCCTGGGAGAGGTAAGCAACATTTCTCTCATAGTAATTTCCGTGTTTTTGCGCTGTTAAGCTGTTTATAAGTTCATTCTATGTTAACATATTCTTGTGTCACTTAATTTGTGTGGGGGCTCGAGTTTATATGGTTGTATTTTACGGAGGATTTTGTTTTCACCTCTTGCTGTCAGTTGTCAGGAATAAATGGAGACCTCCTCCAAAGATATCCATGGTCTGGGCCTCTTTATATCTACACAGCACAGACAACACTTGAGTCACACTTCAAGTATACTTGTACTTCATTTTCAATAGCAATTTCTTTCAATGTGTTTTTTGTCCGACCTGTGTCACATGACCCTCACAAGGTCTTAAATTGCACACCTGTTTCCAGTGTGTTTTACACCCTAGTGAAGACTCTCTAGTTGAAACACGTTGGTTTATCCATGTATTAATAAAGGATTTTCAACTACAGTCAGAGTGCCTTGAATGCATCTCTGGACTGTCTGCCTGGACCATGACTGAGCTGGCCGATTGTCGTTTTTTTATCTCCAGACATCCTAATTCAGTTGTTCTCAACCAGACATCCAGGGGAACCCAGGGGAACTCAAGGGAGTTCCAGACTGTCCCCCCAAAAATGTGGAATACTTGATTTTTTTAACTGTATAATTCACAACAGACGTGGGCCCGATGTGAGTAAGAGTCACATGAGTGAATATTGTCATCACAAGTTTCACTTCCTCCACAGTTATTATTCTGGTCTGAATCATGTCTAACATCAAAATATTTTCAGATGAGGTCCTTGACACAAAAAAGGTTGAGAACCACAGGCCTAAATGATGCTGATGAATCACCGTTAGGTCACTTGAAGAGTTCTGTTTGGTGGTTTGTGATGCTTTTTGATAATTTCCATTTGTTGTCAAGTTGTGCACTGTACACTGCCATTATGGAAGGGTTAAGGGGATTTATAGTTGCCATTGCAAAATGTGCCAATATAAATGGCCACTAGGGGGCCCCAAACATTCGCCTCTTCTTATGGTATGATCCTGATACCAACCCGGTGCCCACATGCGCCACAGGTGTGCCAAAGAAGACTGGCCACAAAATTACAAGAAGTGTGTTTGGCACGCTCCTGACACACTTGGCAGCGCGTACTTAAATGCGACTATGGCAAGCTGAGTTCACAAAAATAGAGCCCGCACCCCGCAGTGTACTATTGTGCACACAGAGTATAATGGATGAAGTGACACCCACACCAGACACCTGCCATGCTGCAGACCACTGTTCAAGACCAACTAAGTGAGTCACTGCCGTGTTTCCTGCAGCTTTTTGGTGACCTAACATGGTTGTTTTTTAGGAACCCGTCACCATGCTTCCTGCAGCTTGTCAGCCACCAAACGTGGGTGTTTTTCAGGGACCCGTCCCTGTGTTTCCTGCAGGTTTTTAGTCACCAGATGTGGGTGTTGTTTTGGGACCCATCACTGTGTGTCCTGCAGCTTTTCAGTCACCAGTCATGGATGTTTTTTAGGGACCTGTCACTATATTTCCTGCAGCTTTTTAGTGACCTAAAATGGGTGTTTTTTAGGGACCTGTCACCATGCTTCCTGCAGCTTGTCAGCCACCAAATGTGGGTGTTATTTAGGGACCTGTTGCTCTGTTTCTTGCAGCTTTTTGCCAACCTAAAATGGGTGTTTTTCAGAAACCTTGCTGTGTTTCCAGGGAGGTTTTTAGCCACCAAATGTGGGTGATCTTTAGGGACCTGCTGCTGTGTTTCCTGCATTTCTTAGCAACCTAAAATGAGTGTTTTTTAGGGACCCATCATTGTGTTTCTTGCAGCTTTTTAGCCCTCAAAAGTGGATGTTTATTACAACCACTGATTTTCCAGCGGGAATAGTGCCGTGAAAAGCTGTTTATTTTTTATTTTTTTTTATTTTTTATTTTTTTTACTGAGACATTTCTGTTTTACAGCAGGGATTGAGCCTTCCCCAAAATGGGTATTTATAAACCAAAAAATGATCTTTGAAGTGTTTTTGTGCCTGAACCTACGCACACATTAACCACAGCACAATTTAAAAGTTAAAAAAAATTAAGTTAACAACATATTTGCTGCTTATAATATGCAAATAAAAGTATCCGTGGTTTGCAGAAACGTACAATACCTGCATTTATTCTGCATAAAAACAATCTGTGCAGAGGAAGTACTGACAGCTACTGATTCAGAGGACGGACAGGATCATTTATAACACCACCACACAGTAAGAGGTAATCAGCCCGGACTTGACTGTATGTTTATGATTTTTTCATTCTTCAGTTCAAGAGCTTTTACAAGTCACCACCAGCTGAGCTTGCTGCAAGGCCAAGTATCCTCGAACATATTGATCATATTGTTCATCCTGCTGTCATATTATTCCACATTAACATTAATCTGTAAGATGTCGCTCACACACACTGTAGGTATCCAGGGCAGCGCAGGTAATCAGTTATACATTCATTTTTCTGAATGTGAGAAAATGGATGTGTGATGTGAGAGTGTGTGAAAACTGCCAATAGCATGAGTCAGTGCCTGAGAGTTGGCAGCCATGAGTATAAATGTTCTTAGCAAACATCAAGGCAATGTGGCAGGTAAATCAAGTTAAGTTAAGGTGAAATATTAGCATGAAAATGTGGCAATCATTGGCACTAAGGTGAACAGTCAGGGGACAGCAGCAACACCAGTGACAGTTCAACAGGAAACTCTGCCCCGACAGCAGCACTACACACAAGGTCAGACTGACACCGCCACCCTCAGGCCCACGAGCATCACAAACTGAACTGTATCTTTAAGGCATTGTGTGAATGATCATCTGTGTAGGCGGTTGCCAAATCAGTGGATTTTTACTAAAATTTTGTTAGGCAGGGACCCACTCCATTTAGCAGCATGAATAAATTAATGTACTATAAAAAGAATATTTTTAAAAAAGGTTTATTACCAAGTAGGTATTGATGTACAAGGAATTTGCTTTGGTTTTTGTGCATAAATTAAACAAATAATAAACATCAGCAGTGATCAGCAGTTTCTGAGGGAGTCTGCTGCGCCTAAGGGTGCTCAGGAAAAAAAAACATGCTCAATAAATTATCCCAAACTAACTGACATAACACAAATATCAGAGGGGTGGTGTTCCAGCATACAAGGAGCAGGGGCAGCTCTTCCTATACAACACAGGTGCCCCCCTAGGGCAACCACCCAAAAGCCCAACATACACAACAACACATTAAAATAAAACAAATTAATACAGCCTGTTGTTATAACAATCCACGCTTCCAAACCCTGCATAAACAACTGTTTAGTTGATTCAAAACACACATTAAACACACATTAAACATGACTTAATAGAGATTTCAAACACAAGTACACAAATCAGCTTCACTATAACTCGCAGCATTCACAGACAAACACTTGTCTTTATCTGGACACATTTTCCCCACAAATACAACATGCTAACGTTGTTAGCACAAGCCTATGGCATTTTACATTGAATAAATTAGCCCAGCAGCTAGTGGACTTTTCCTCTTCTCATATAAAACCAGGAGACAACAGCAACATTTAACAAAGGTAACGTTACACAATTCAGCTCCATTACAACTCACAAGGTTCACCGACAAAACAACTGTCTTATACTACTATGAATCCAGGATAAATCACACACACAAGATTTAAAATGCTATTTTTGTGGAGGCGTTATTGTCTTCACAATTTATTGTTTCTTATCTGTGAAATTAAAGAAAATAAAAGCTTTGCTTCCACTGAGGGAAATGGTTTCAGCTTACAGAAATAGACAGGAGGTCTGCGTCACTGCGACTTGTAGTTACATTTTTAAGGAAGTGCATGTCAGGCTAGCTATTTATTATTATTATTTTATGTTAGGTATGTTGTTTATTTGGCTTTTGTTCTTGTTTGTTATAAATACAATAACTACAAAAGATAATAATACTCTCTTTGGGGGGGTGGAGGTGCCAGGGGAAGCTTGCGAAGGGCACCAAATGTGCTAGGTCCGGCACTGACAGGGAGGTTTCTGAGGGTCTATATCCTCCTGAGACCCTGTGTCCTTGTATGAGGTCACCACATTTTGGGTTTACTTTACCTTACACTTCACTCTACTTAATTTAGACCTGTTGTCCTCGTTCGTGGACACTATTTTGCGCCATCTAGTGGTAGTAAGACCACAATACACTAATCCATGTAAAAAAAAAAAAAAAAAAGATGGCAGCCATCTCTGCTAAGTCAGTCTGCAGCTGATCCCAACACAAAAGTGGACATCAGGACTTAATTACTGTTGACAATATTTAATTTTTATACTTATCAGGTCTTACTGATCGATAGATAGCTGGGAGGAATTAAAAATGCATACCTAAAGTTTCAGGAGGATAAGACACATTAAGAAATGCACAGAGGGGAATGGGAATGGAGGATTTATCTGAGCACTGCAGATGGAAGATAATCAGCAAAAAAGATTTTACGACCCATGCATAAAGCATGTGAACTGTTAACCGGTTATAGACCCTTTATATAGGTCACATGGGGAGCTGGTGTGGTGGAGGTGGTGCGTCCCGTCACTTCCTTCCTGGAGGAGGAGGGCGCTCTCAGCTCCACTCACAGCTTGTGTTTTGGGAGGTTGTGTTCAAGAGGACAGCTGCAGACCTTCCACGCACAGTCATCCTTTCACGTTACCTCCACCACGCACTGTGAGCACTACACAATAGTCAGACCCACGCAGCAACATGGACTACACTATCCGTGCAGCCAACGTGGAGGACTGCAAGGACATCGCGCGGATGATCATGGTGAGCGGACACGTGCGGTGCAGCTGCTCGAGGAGCCTTTAGGATCCTGTGACTCGGTGTCTGACGTCAACAGATACCTCAGATACACAGGATGTAGCGATTATTACATTATTGGGATATTATTGGATGGACGGGTTCCTTTGAGCGCCACAGGGTCACACAGTGTGACATATCTAAGGATAAGGAAGTGTGATGATTCATAAAAAGTAATAACTGGTGATAACTGATGTCATTTGTGCTTATTCACAGGAGTTGGCTGAATATGAGAAAGTATCAGAGCATGTGAAAATCACACAGAGAGGTACTGTATTAACAGCTGTCCTAAAAATATCTGTCAAAATAAAATGTACAGCTCCCAGCTCTGACCTTATGTTTACATTTGACCTTCATGAGGTAAAATCCTGCACATTAAAGGGCCTCTATTATATATATTTTTAACATTATGAACAACCTTAGCGTGATAGCGAAATGCTAATATTGCATATTTTAAAATGCAGTTCTGTCATTTCTTTTTTATTTATTAGTGCCTTCTGTGTTCAGTTCAATTTATTGCATTTTAGCAGTATACCGAAAGTAGCAGAGATGCAGGACTGAACTCACTTTAAAGGGACAGTTCACCCCAATATCAAATATACGTATTTTTTTCATTTATTGGTAGTGCTGTTTATTTATCCAGATTGTTTTGGCGTGAGTTGCAGAGTGTTGGAGATATCAGCCGTAGAGGCGTCTGCCTTCTCTCCAGAATAATGGAAGTAGATGGCACTCGGCTTGTGGTTTTCAGAAATCATGACCTGGTTACTCAAGATAATCCACAAACCTTGTTGTCAGGAGTTTCATGTAGGAACCATTTTTATTCCTACCGAACTACAGCCGCCACTGTATCAGCACACAGAAGGAAGTGTGCATCTATTCATGGACGAGAGGCTCGTGCTCGATGTCCTCCTCAGCTGAGCTGTAACGTTAGCTAGCTCAGTGGTGCTAGGTGAGCTAGCAGTAGAAGCACGCTTCCTTCTGCGCAGTGATACAGTTGGCAGGTGGTTATGTAGAGGCATCCGCCATAATACTGTAGTTATTACATCATTGTAATCACAGCATTTCATTTCATTTATTTTATTTATTAGGACAATGCACATCAATCAGCATTTCTGTCAATGTGCCAGTGTTAGCCAGCTGGCTAATTTTCAGCTGCTGTCCTTTGGTAAGATGTTGTGAAACCAATAAAAGGATAAAATTCACAGGACAAGACAGCAAAACAAACAAAAACCCCCCATAAAAACAGCATTAACAACAGCAAACAGAAATTCAAAAAAAGCGAAAGCAACAAGCAACAGCAGAGCATCAGTACAATACAGTACAATGTTAGCATAAACAGACATGCAAGCAACACAAAGCACAAACACACAGCTTACAGCAGACAACAATAATGAGATGAAGCCCAAGGGGATTAGCCTACAAGCTAGCTAGTAAGCTAGGACTAAATGTTTCACTATCAGCATTAAATTATTAGCCTTAATGAATGTTGAATTTCTTGCTAGTGAGCTAGCTAGCTTTGTTAAGATTGGACTGGTATAAATTACTAATGTCATTGTAACCATAACACTTAGCAGTTGTTAGTTTGTTCCAATTTGTCAAAATTACAAATAATGGTAAAATGATTTAAGAATTTGACAATAAGGGAGACAAACTGCACTTAAAACCAAAACGTTAGCTAGCTCAGTGGTGCTAGGTGAGCTAGCAGTAGATGCACGCTTCCTTCTGCAACATGATAGGGTTAGCAGGTGTAGTTCAATAGAAAGGAAATAGTTCCTACATGAAACTGCTCACAACAAGGTCTGTGGATTATTTTGAGTAACCAGGTCATGACTTCTATAAAGAGACATTGCTGTTGAGTTTTTTAATTTATTTTTTGGCGTTTTGAACACCACAAGCTGAGTGCCATCTAGTTCCATTATACAAGAGAGAAGGCAGACATCTCTACAGCTGATATCTGCAACACTCGGCAACTCACACCAAAACAATATAGGCTGATAAACAGCACTACAGGGAAGAGGAAAAATATGTGTTCTTTATTGCAAGTAATATTGTACGATATATCGTTATCGTGATAATCATGTTATTCACAAACTTATTCTACCTTTTTTTTATACCATGCAGCCCTAGTAGAGATAGACGATTCATTCTTGACCTTGGAAAAAATACAATATTTCATCACAAGGTCCCTTTAGTAGCCCTTCCCGAGCTTTTGAGTGTATCGCATGATCTTTTTGTTTGCCCAGTTGCAATTTTAGACACTTAATTTCTTTTTTTTTTTTTTTGAGCACTTTTAAGACTTTTCATCCAAGTTTGCTAATTTATTCTTGAAGATGATGAGCTAAGAAGATTATGTGACATGATCTAAAGCTCCAGAACAGCTACTAAATGGACCTTATGGCCAAATTTTTGGCTGTCATCTCCGACATAAACGATGGATGTTCACTATGAACTTTCAGACTAGCATGACACGACACTCAATCAAGATCGTGATACAATTAAAAGCTACAAAATGGACCTAGTGATGAGATTTATTTGCCAAGTGTTGAAGCTGTTTCAAACCACATCTTTGTGAAGAGACCATTAAATGTCTGACCTTCATTTCAGGAAAAACTATCACCAGCATATTACAAATATGTTTCTTTGTATTTTATATGCAGACTTAGAGCAGGATGGCTTCTCCAAGAACCCGTTCTTCCATGGGATCATCGCTGAGGTGCCGGATCAGCACAAAACCAAAGATGGTGAGGGGGAACCACCAATAACACGTCAACTTCACTTACAGCAATGTAACAGCAGGTAGTTGTGTCTCCTCTCTGAAGGGACACGCCTGTTATGACCTCACTGTTTGGACTGTGACCAGAAGTATGACATGCTACGACAAGTTACCAGCTGCAGCATTCTTTCTGCGACATTCAGTTCAGGCCTGATTAATCCTTTAATCGGAGTGTGAGCCTTTCCCCACACTTAAAGTGGCTCATTTAGATGAGCCATAAATCAATTATTATCAATTATTTTTTCTAGATGGAAGCGCCATTACTGCTTCTTGTTCTTAACCCCAAAGATTGACAGTTTAAGAGGAGGTCAAGCTCACAAAGACAAATGTGGACTTAAGAATACATCTGTTTGTTGGTTTGCTTATTGATTAGTCATTATGAACTCAACAAACCCTGCCGTAAGAGTTCTCTAGACAGTTTTTGTTGCATGGTCTTTAGTGTTAGCCAATCCAACTCAAGTCTCAACTCGAGTCCAAAAGTCCTTTTCCTTCATTATCTTTCAACTCTTGTTGCTGCTATCTGTCTTCCTGTGCTTCTTCTTGGCCTGCTCTAGTCCTGATGCAGAAAGTCAAACACACCACACTGTTTTTTTAATTGTACTCATTAAGACAGTCCCTCCAGGATTTTGCATGCTGGTTTTTCAAAAACAGTTGTGATGCTGTCTCGGATTTGGAGCTTATAATTATGAGAAGTCAGTGTTTCTCACAGAATTACACTGTCTTTGTGACGATGGGAGGGTAAGCTGATAGCCGCCGATCAGCTGTTGCTGCTGTCTCCATGAGTCACCCTGCTACTGCTCTGTCTGCCCGCCTAGCATGAGCTAACACAGCACAACATAATCTCACCCCTACTCATCATATTTTGCTGCTTGGGGCAGAAATCCTGAACAGCTCTACAGTGAAATGAGATTTTACCCCTTTTAAACTGTCAAATTTGTGTTGGGGTAATTGGGATTTTAGCTCTGTTTTTGGTCTCTACCAACTCCTAAAGGAATACCTGCCTCAGCAGCTAAATGCTCCACTATGTTCACTCATAGATAACTTAGTCTTTTTTTGTTAAAAACAGCTGCATGCTTTTGAAAATAATGCTGATGAGAGCAGTGAGTGCATCAGAACAATAGAGTAGTGGGTCATAAACCGAAACAGTGCAACTCAATCGGCAGAAAAAATGTTGGCATTGTAGGTTTTTGCAAACCATAGATACCAGACATTTGTACATTATTATGTAGCGAGTACAATAAATGTTTATGTTTCAACAACACTATGTTTAACATGTGTTTATGTTTAGGCTCAAAAAACACTTCGTTATGGTTGGAAAAATAGCATGTTTTGGCTTAAAATACACGGTTTTGGTGGCTCAATCCAGACTGGAAATGGAGCAGTGTTTCAGTAAAAAACAGCTGCTTTTCATGCCCTTATCCCAGCGAGAAACGCAGTGATGTCTTGTTAAAAAACAGCTACTTTTACTGCCTCTATTTCAGCAGGAAATACAGTGAAGTCTTGGTAAAAAAAAAAAAATAGCTGCTTTTTGTGCCCCTATCCCAGCGAGAAAGGCTGTGATGTCTTGCTAGAAAACAACCGCTTTTCATGCCTCTATCCCAGCGAAAAACGCAGTGATGTCTTGTTAAAAAACAGCTGCTTTTCATGCCCCTATCCCAGCAGGAAACGCAGCGATGTCTTGTTAAAAAAAAAAATAGGGACTGGTCACTAAGAAACACGCATGTTTCGGGACTGAAAAGCTGCAGGAAATGCAAAAATAACTCGCTAAAAAACATTTGTTGTTGTTGTTTGTTGGTTTCAAGCAGTAGTCTGCAGGGTAAAGAGCTGCACGTAAAACAGCCAGGGGTCCATTTAAAAAAGACTAAACGCCATGTTTGGGAAACTACTGGAAGAACACTGATGGTTCCCTAAAAAACACCCACATTCTGGGGCTAAAAAAACCACTAGAAAACCAGCAATGTGTCCCCAGAACAAACCCCCATGACTGGGGGCTAAAGACCTGCAGGATAAACAACCACATGTCCATAAAAAGAAACAATGTTTTGGTGCTGTAAAGCGTCTGGAAAAACAGCCATGGTTCCCAAATAAAAACTCACTTTAGTGCCTAAAAAGCCGCAGGAAATGCAACAATAACTCACTAAAAAACAACTGCTGTTGTTGTTTGTTGTCTCAAACAGTAATCTGCAGTTGTTTAGAGCTTGGCAGGCGTCTTGCCTAGGTGACACGCCATCCACTGTCTGCTCATATACTTACTACGTCACTTTAGAAATGATGATATGATGCGTATGAAACGTGCAAAGGTAGTGTATTCGTGGTTTGTAGAAACATACAATGGCAACATTTTCCTCTGGTGAATAGGTTGAACGATGAGCTGTGGAGCTGAGGGGAACTGCAGAGGTGATAACTCTGTGGGTTTGTTTCTACGAGAGGCCTGTTAAATACTACATGTAGCCAATTAATAGATTATAACTAAACAAAACAATTAAGATGATTAAGGATGAAACTAATTTGCTGCGTCTACTGCTCTTTCAGTGCCACAGTAATTTAAGAATACAATAGTGACTCTGGTCTTGAATTACAGCAGCTTCAACAGACATTTCCCACAGCAGAAAATTTGACACGTAGTAGGAAAAGCACATGTGTAAGAAATAACATTAATGAGGGCCCTGGCACTGAAACATGGCCGTCGTTAAAATTATTGATGACACCTGTGCTTGACAAGTAAAAATATCAGCTGTGAGAAATTCTTTAGAAATTGAGTCTAGTTTGGTTTAATTACCGACAGCACAAAACTTTAATTCTAGAAATGCTTCTTAGAATGTAGGTGAGTTTATGAATGGAGAATTGTCAGTTACCAGGTTAATCAGTCTGCGTTTATTAGCTCTGTTATCCAATGTAACGGCACACTGCAGATGTGACCTCTCAGACAGACACCACTTACATAACAAGGCTAACACACTGCTTTTCCTCAGAATACAGCAACGAGACCATTAACGTAAGCTCTGCTGCCCAGCTGGGCCTTTTTCTTCCATGACACAGCCCTTTTTCCATACAGTCACCACTCTCCACAGGCTGCAGATATCTGCCTGTCAATGTGTGTTTGACTTTACTGAGCCATCACTAAAAACAAACACGTTCATTCCCAAATTGGTTCTCCAGCAACGTTTACCTGCACAACAGGGTACAGATTAGCTCATGGCAGCTAGAATCAGTCCGACAGCCACACTGAATTGAAGACAGACAAAACTCTGTGGTGATTTCTACCTGTTACACTTTTGCATCACATCTCTAAACACCTGGACGAACCTGAATCATATGCCAGAGCACTTTTACTGTATTTATAATCTGCATTTAACACCATCCAGCCTGATTTCCTCCTGCCCAAAATGATTCAGTCACAGCTCAGTCCAAACGTCCACTGATACATCTGTTTGCTCACAAACAGAAAATCAGTTAGTTAAGGTAAATAATATAGTTCCCTCTCCGATGAGGACAAACGTTGGAGCACCTCTAGGCTGTGTTAGCTCACCTGTGTTGTTTACACTGCAAACGTTACCACCAGGGTGTCCAACCAGTTTCTTTTCTAATAATAATATTATATATTATATAGTATTCTTATATGCAATGACAATAAATATCTATCTATCTGCGTCACTGTCTCTGTTACCTGACGGTGATGAACCCAGATTATTCCAGTGCCATGCTGACTGGCTCACTGAGTGGTGTGATAAGAACGCTCTCATTATCAGTGCTAACAAGATGTGTTTGGACTTTCTCCTGACTGTCAGCTGTCTCCAGTGTCAATTCACATTGGTCTATCCCAGCTGACATTGGGCGAGAGGCAGGGTACACCCTGGACAGGTCGCCAGACTATCACAGGGCTGACACATAGAGACAGACAACCATTCACACTCACGTTCACACCTACGGACAATTTAGAGTCACCAGTTAACCTGCATGTCTTTGGACTGTGGGAGGAAGCTGGAGTACCTGGAGGAAACCCACGCTGACACGGGGAGAACATGCAAACTCCACACAGAAGGGCTCCCCCAGCCCAAGGTTCAAACTCCCCACCCTGGGAACCAGGAAACTCTTGCTGTGAGGCAACAATGCTAACAACTGCAGCACTGTGCCGCCCTATTACTATACTTGAAACTTAAAACCATTTTGTTAATGGAAGTATCGGTAAAAGCTCTCACCTTTGAAAATAATTAAAGTAAAGGGGAGATTTAATGTCCAGTTGCATTTTTTTTAACAGAATGTCTCTCCAAACCAAATGCAAATATCTGGGGGTCATGGTAGATGCCAACCTATCATGGATTCCTCACATTTGTAAGAAGACACAGCAGCACATTTACTTTCGTTGTAGACGTACTGCTTGAAAATCATCAACCTGACCAACTGAAGAGTTGAACTGAAAGTCTAAAAACATGAAAAGAATTTTAACATATATTTTAATTGATTTTCCCTGTACAACAAATTTATTTTACCAATATTGTAGACAAAACATTTACCCTTTGCCATCCCTCACTACAACAAAAACATGACAAAATTATAACCACACTAATCCCACCACCCCACAAAGACAACAACATAGATACTAGTACAACAAGTTTTGAAGTCAAGGAACACATACATGAATGTGTAAGTAGATAATAGCACGTTACTAACAATAAAAACATCACCACCAACGGCAAAGAGAGAAAACGAGAGTACACTTTGTGGTTGTATACCTCTGTAAACCAGTCAAGTTGCAGTTGCAGTTTACATCCATGTCTGTGAAAACATGGATGTCCTCACACACATCTTTTCCCCTGGCAGCTCAGAAGATCTATACAATCAGCACAGTTTCAAAGAAGACACCCAAAATTAGTTTCACCAATTCAGTATCTAACCAAATGTCTCCACTTCTATTCCTGAGATATAATGCTGAATAATGACCAGAAATTGTTTCATCAAGAACATTATGATGTCACAGTGAAGTTGACCTTTGACCTTTTGGATGTAAAATATCATCACTTCATCTTCACATCATTTTATCCTATTAGACATTTGTGAGGTTACAGTGACCTTGAGTTTGACCTTTGACCACCAAATTCTAATCACTTTATTCTTGAGTCCCAGTGGACTTTATTTGCCAAATTTAAAGAAATTCCCTCAAGGTATTATTGAGATATCACATTCACAAAAATGAGAAGGTCACAGTGACCTCGAACTTTGACCATGAAAAACTAATCAGTTCACTGTTGAGTGAAGTTGATGGTTGTGCCAAATTTAAAGAAATTCCCTCAAAGTGTTCTTGAGATATCACGTTCATGAGAATGAGACAGACAAGGCCACAATGACCTTGAACTTTGACCATCAAAAAATAATTGGTTCATTGTTGAGTCCAAGTTGATGTCAATTCAGTTTTAAAATTTTATTTATAAAGCCCAATATCACAAATCACAATTTGCCTCACAGGGCTTTACAGCATACATCCCTCTGTCCTTTGGACCCTCGCAGCAGATAAGGAAAAACTCCCCCCCCCCCCGAAAAAAAACCTTTAACTGTTTTGAGATATTGCGTTCACGAGAGTGAGATGGACACAAGGTCACAGCAACCTTGACCATCAAAAACTAATCAGTTCATCGTTGAGTCCAAGTGAACATTTGTGCCAAATTCCTTTGAGGCGTTCTGAAATATTGCATTCACAACATGATGTATGGACAACTCGAAAATTTAACGCCGGCGCAGAGGCATAAAGATTCCCTCAAGGTGTTCATGAGATTGTAATGGATGTAACGTCACAGTGACCCTGACCATTGACCGCCAAAATTTAATCAGTTTCCAAGTGGACGTTTGTGCCAAATTTGAAAAAAATCCCTCAAGGCATTTACAGGAATGGAACGGATGGACATCCCAAAAACATTATGCTTCTCGCCACAGCTGTCGCCGGCACATCGGAATAATAATTGAAATTGATCAATAAATAGAGTTTCTGCTTCTCAACATGGATTTCTCTGCATCATTTGTTTGCCTTTGGTACAAATGTATTTTTTTACAGATATAACTGCAATATATTGACTAATAACTACTTTCATTTTTAGGGTTTTTACAGCTTGAAATAATCACATATGCTGAGCAATACTTCTTATCCCAGCATCATGCCCAAATATTTTAACTGTGCAGACCTGCCAGGCTGCACCCATGCAGTGTCTGATCATGTCTGACTATTTCAGCAGCAATAAAACAGTGGATAAGAAATTCTGACTTTACTTCTGTAACATACTTGCTGCTGAAATCAACATTGATAAGGCAAATATTTTATTTAACATCTCCTATTTTCTTAGTTTAAGGTGAAGAATCACTAATTGTAGAGAACCAGCTTTATGCTGCTTTTAAAAGTTGAATATTGTAACTCAAATCACCTGCTCACGACTAATTCCTTGTGCATTAATTTCTCTTTTTTTCTCTAGGTCATACGAAGATCGGATATGCACTTTACTTCTACGCCTACAGCTCATGGACGGGCAGAGCCGTTTACATGGAGGACTTGTATGTGATGCCTGACTTCAGAGGTACAGTACAGCGTTCTCAGACACACGTTATTATAATTATGGAGTAAATATAATTTGTCAAAATGGCCCACAGGAAAAAAGCAGCAAATTAAAAACTCATGTCTATATGTGCAGGAAACTCTCAGGTAATTTGTGGTATGTTTCTTTCAGGGAAGGGCATTGGCAAAGCACTTATGAGCAAGGTAGCTCAGGTGAGTGAAACATCAATCCATAATGTAACTATGACAGTATAGGAAATGTAATGTGTACGTTTAACTGAGGATGTTAGCGGCTGACTGTTGAGAATATTTTTGACTGGTTATGCATTGGTAAGTTTTGCTCACACTCAGTGGGGTGCTGTTACTATTACAGATACAGTTATCCTTACGTTAAAGAAAGGAGGTCAAAGTGATGCACAATGTGTCTCTGAGCTTGCATACATTCCCATCTGTCATGTAACCATGTCTGTTTTCCTGCTCTGTAGCTGGGCATGGCTGCCGGCTGCAACCAGATCAACTTCACCGTCCTGGACTGGAACAAACCATCTGTGGACTTTTACCTCAGCCAGGGCAGCTATAACGTCACAACTACGCAGGGCTACCACCTTATGCGCTGCGAAGGAGAGGCGTTGGAGCGCCTGGCCCAACCCTAACCAAACTCCGGGTTTATAACGGCATGACCTTTGAAACCATTAGGTCACAGTGCAGGGATAGAGCACCACTCAGTGGCCCCGTTCCAAAACTTGATGATGACAATCGTTGAGCCGATCTCTCTCAAAGCAGATGATCAAAATAATTGACTGTTTGTTAAACCCAGCCCCCGAAGTTACCGTAACTACACCTGCCAAGTTTTCCATGCTAGGACGGTACATATGCGGTTTACAATCATTCCAACACTGTCTCATGTACTTCACATACAGGTTCACAAAAGCAGGTTTCTCATTTAAAGCTGATGTCTGTCAACAACTGGTAGATTTTATTAGCGGTACTTAGCTAACGTTAGCTAATGAGCTGACACCAGCTCACTGAACTGGATGAAAACTCCATCTACAGCTGTAGTTAGCTAGCGTTAGCTAATTAGCCAACTTTTTAAGCTTCAAGCTGAAACCAAGAACCCTTTAAAAAGTACACATGATGGCAACATATGTGATTTATTGCTAAAAGACTGAGGCTACAGGTCGCAGGCAAAAAGTCTACTAGATCTGCTGGAAACTTTCAGGACAGAACTGCTAACGTTAGCCTAAACTAACTAAGGCCCTGATCACACAGAAAGAGTTTTGCAAGCTAGCAACCACCCCATCACCTCCTTACACTCCTGTGTATTAAATCCACCATTTTTCCCCCAAGTAATTAGTATCTAGTTCCTGAAACGTTGAGGCAGAGGGTACTTGCTGTAGCTCTGGTTGAGGATGAGAGTCTGTCAGTAAATAGTTTGTTGGGCACAGATAAACAGAGATTTGTGTGGTTACATGAGACCCTAAAAAAGAGGTGGATCATGGGGAGTACCACCAGTTGGTCCAGGAGCTTGTCCTCGATGATGGCCATTTCCAGGCATATTTTAGGATGTCTCGGGGAAAGTTTGACAACCTGCTGTCTATAGTCGGGCTGTATTTTCCTGGGTATCTGACAACCACTACCACCAGTTTCTTCCATTGTTTACCAACTGTAAACTTGTCGTTGTGACCACCACAGAAGGCCCACCTCTCAAATCATCCGATTGGACAATGAGGAAAAGACGATGAAAGAGATGATGAGCGTGCTTTTCCGCTCTGAGTTGAAGTTTCTTCAACTCAAGGAGTTTAGAACCCTCCGGCAAAAACGGCAGGTGCCAAGAGCGTCGAAATGCAAGGTGCATCGCAATGCAAAAACAGCGAGCAAAAACCTTCATTCACATTAAAAACAATTACAAAAAGGCGCATCCAGGTGCTAAAATGCTTTCTGTGTGATTGGGGCCGAAAGCAGTGGATGGTCCCGTCCAATTTAACTTAACAATAACTGCTGATTGTAAGCTAGTTAGCCAGGCATGCTTAGCTGGCAGCTTACGTTAGCGTTTTTGGTTTTGGTATGGCTAAAAGCAAAAGACACAACCCCTCAAACTCTTTTAGATAGGGTGAGTTGCCCTTAAGTAGGACACTGCCTCAGTGGGACACCAAAGCTCTAGTGGGTGTAGGTTTTCCTCAAACAAATGTAAATCAATAAAACCAGGAGTTAACACAAGCTGTCTCACAGATGTATCAGTGTCCCACATTTCCGACATGACTGTCCCACATTAGGAGATGCATATTTGTCTGAGCTACCTTGGCACTGACGGCTCTGATGTGTCTACCATTTATTTTCATAAGTAAGATAGCTGCATTTTGTTTTTTGGTTTTCTTTGGACACATCTTGAAGATGTCGGAATTTTGCCGCAATTTATTCCAGAAGTCTGAAATGCTAATTTACCCACGAGGCATCGCTCTTACTTCAGCATCATGCACTCTGCTTCAACATGTACCTGCTGTGCCTTGTTATGGTTTGATGTGGGGTTAAGCAAACAGTCAATTGGCTTATTATTTAATAAGGATGCAGTTTTAAGTATTGGAATGGGGCCTACGCAATATATTTAAATAGTACGGAACCGAGGCACTGAAATTTGTGTTTTGTGTTTTTCCCTTGTGATATGTTACGACCCAGAGCACCTTTGATTTTGGTGTTAAGTGGATCAGATAACCTAACCTCTCTTCTTAATGAATAAATGTAGAATATATGGTCGAGACGAGAAAGGTCCGACGGGAGTGTGCAGGTGTGTGGTGGTGGGGTTTATAGAGAAAGTCTTAGAACATAATTAATCATCTTTAAATGATGTTTTTGTTTTTGCACAAAGATCCAGAAAAACTTTACGCATTGCAAAGCCAAGATGTATGTTTTATTGTATGACTGCTGGAAAAGGTTGAGTTTTTAGTATCGTATCCCTTTAAATGTATTATAAACTATGACAACAGCAACCAAAGAGTCAGTCACCTCACCCCTCGTCTTCCAGACGAGGAGCTGTAAAGCTGTTGTGAAGCACAATGTTGGTATTTGCACTGTTTTTTTTTCTCCTTTTAAGCCATGTGTGTACTCAGTGATGAAATTGTAAAGGAACCAGTTGAACCTAAACCTGCTTCCATGTATGAAAACAACAAACTCTTTGGGATAGTTTCAAAGGAATGATCCTAGAATCAGACAAAGACGATACATCTGGTGGAATTTAAAAAATAAAAGCCTTGGACTGGGCTCAGTGCGTGTCTTTGAACCTGTCCTGCTAAAATGAAAGGGGCATAAGTCTGGTCTGCACTTCTGTTTCATATCCAGTCTAATTTAAAAAAATAAAAAACGAGGGCTTTCTGTATCATTTCCAGCAATTTAATGAAAACAGTCTGAGTTGTGGATTATATTTAGTTTGTTTTCTCTCACTCTAAACAAGTAAGAACCACTGACCCTCCTCTGTAGCTTTTGCAATTTGCATTTTATTTCATACTTTGTTTACAAAATAATTGGAGTGAAGAATGTAGATTTGTTTTTTTGTTCATTTTGGGGATATTGGTTTGTAAAATATTCATGTATGTATGGAGGCCTAGAGGGTCAAATCACAACAGATCACAAAACAGGACATTTCACAAAACAAAACCACATTTCAGAAAACACAACCACGTTTTAGTAAAGACAACATTTCACAAAACACATTTTAGAAAAGACGACATTTCAAAACATCATTTCACAGAACAACCATATTTTAGGAAACACTACATTTCACAAAACATCTGAGATATCAAAATAACATTTCAGAAAACAACCACGTGACAAAACACAACCACGTTTTAGAAAACTCAACTGCATTTCATAAAACACATTTTAGAAAAGACAATTCACAAAATGCAACATTTAACATAATACAATGACAGTAAACAGGAAACAAAACAACCTTTTCCAAAACATGACCACATCTCAGAAAATACTACCACATTTCACAAAACATAACGAAATTTGAAAAAACACATTTCAGAAAACAAAAGGATGTTACACAAAACAAAATCACATTTCATAAAACACAACCATGTTGGAGAAAAGATGACATTTCACAAAACACAACCATATTTCAGGAAACACTACAACATTTCACAAAACATATGAGATATCAAAATAACATTTCAGGAAACAACCACATTTGACAAAAGACAACATTTCAAAAAACACAACCACGTTTATGAAAACTCAACTGCATTTCATAAAACACATTTTAGAAAAGATGACAATTCACAAAACGCAACATTTATCAAAACACAATGACAAGAAACAGGAAACAAAACAAGATTTCCCAAAACATGACCACATTTCAGAAAACAAAGTCACATTTCAGAAAACTCAACCACAATGGAGAAAAGATGACATTTCATAAAACATAACATTTTACAAAACAAAACCACATTTTAGAAAAGACGACATTTAAAAAAAAAATATAATGTTATTTCACAAAACAACCATATTTTAGGAAACACTACATTTCACAAATATTCCTGTGTAAACATTTGAGATATCAAAATAACATTTCAGAAAACAACCACATCTGACTAAAGACAACATTTCAAAAAACAGAACCACATTTATGAAAACTCAACTGCATTTCATAAAACATAGCATTTCACAAAACACATTTTAGAAAAGACGACAATTCACAAAACGCAACTTTTTAACAAAACATTTAAGAAAATACAAGTCGACAGGAAACAGAAAACAAAACATTTCCCAAAACATGACCACATTTCACAAAACACAACCACGTTTGACAAAAGATGACATTTCAAAAAACATAACGTCATTTTCACAAAACATTTGACATATCAAAATGACATTTCACAAAACACAACTACATTTCAGAAAACAACTGCATTTCACAAAACATTTGAGAAAATACAACTCGACAGGTAACAGCAAACAAAACGACATTTCAAAAAACAAGACCACATTTCACAAAACACAACATTTAACAAAACACATTGACATTTCAGTTAACACATTTTACAAGACAAACAATGTAACTGTGTTTTGTGATTTATTTTGTGAAACATTGCACTCATGTCACATGTTTTGTTTTTTGTTTTTTCCAAATGTGGTGTTTTATAAAATGTGGTCAAGTTTTGTGAAATGTTGTGCTTTGACCCTCTGGGCCACCATATAAATGCTTCAGTGTGCAGAATGTACGCACAAAAGAACATCACAATTTAATGTACTAACTACAGAGTCCAAGGGAACACGAAGAGATATTTATAACCTATCTTTTCTGCAACTTCCCATCAGAATGCCAGAGCCAGAGCTTAAAGTACACAGCTTGTTACTCTGTTCCCAGCATGGAAAACAGATTCAATATCCAAGTTCAACCCTGATTCCTGTCACATCTCTGCAATAAATCAAACTTTGAGAAGCAATTTTGCAAACAAAACAAGAAAAGATAGAACATTTGCAATGTTTATTGAGATTTTAGTGTGCACAGTGTGTGTGATCACTGCACAGTGTAACAGTGTAAGTAGAGAAACAACCATGTTGATGTATTTGGCTCATTCCCACAACTGTGGTGCTGTTGTCAGGAAAGGCCTGAGTGTGTTACCCAGTGTACCATTCACATGATAGGATAATTCCAGTGTGTTCGATACTGTTTGTTTTTTTACCACTATGTGCAATTATGAGGCGTCTGTTTTAATGTGTCTGATTTTGTCTCTGAAATTGCTGAAAAGAAAAATAGCAGCTGGGTGGAAATCCTGTGAATCCAAAAACAAGCTCTTCAGAAACATCGTCCATTTTTTAAACTTCATCTCTGAGGTTTTAAAGGGCTTCATGACATCAAATAAATTCCCTCACTCCACTAAAAGAGCATGAAATTGACTCAGATGACACATTAAACCACCAAAAATGGATTCACAGGTTTTTTACGTAACCAGCAAAATGTTTGATGCCATTATTTCAACACAAAGATCCATTATATTCATTTGCTGTACCAGAGATCATGATACATTAGAAACTGTCTTCAGTCATGTTACATTTAGCCTAGAACCTGCATGAGAAATGTATTTGGGGCTTCCTGTTGTCACCCATTCTTTACAACCGAGAGTGTGTTTCACTGTTTACTTGTATACTTGTTTAACGGCTCTGTCCTGTTGACACGGAGGAATAAAACCAACTCTGACTGCAGTTTAATAACAGTGTTGCCCCACAGCTATGTGTCCACGTCATACTTTCTTCGGTCTGCCAGTGAATTTACCAGAATCAGCTTTATTGAGGAATTTGGCTGCGTTTTTTTTGTTGTTGCTCTTACTCTAAAAGTAGAGTACAGATAAGAAAAGCCAACAAAGCTGAAGAAAAGTCAACATTTAGCTGTTACGTAGGGGAGAGCGAGGTCGGTCGTCACAGTTTTTACTTTCACTTGAATCCCTTGAACACTGTTTCCTTAGTAGATTCCCTTTCGGTGCGTAATGAAGTGTCAGGTAGGAATACAGCGACGTTACTCTCCTTGTGCTTATCTGTTTGAAAGATGGACTGTCGAATATCTATGTGGTGTGCACGTGTAACAACCATCCGCATCATGGGGTTGGTTGTCCCTGTGTTACTTTAATGAGAAAAATAATAAATCTGAAGTCTGAAAAAATGACTTAATGCAAGAGTGGCTGGGCTCAGCCTTAGAGATAGGGTGAGGAGCTCGGACATCCGGGAGGGACTCGGAGTAGAGCCGCTGCTCCTCCACATCGAGAGGAGCCAGTTGAGGTGGTTTGGGCATCTGGTAAGGATGCCTCCCGGACGCCTCCCTTGGGAGGTATTTCGGGCATGTCCAACCGGGAGGAGACCTCGGGGCTGCCCCAGGACACGCTGGAGGGACTACATCACCCGGCTGGCCTGGGAACGCCTCGGGGTTCCCTCGGAAGAGCTGACGGAGGTGGCTGGGGAGAGGGCTGTCTGGGCTTCTTTGCTGAGGCTGCTGCCCCCGCGACCCGGACCCGGATAAGCGGAGGACGACGAGATGAGACGAGACGAGACTTAATGCAATTGTAATTCAACAAGCTAATGTCTCATGCATTGAGAGAAACAGGAAAAATCATTCCCATAAGTGCATTTTTAACCCTTATATAACAATATTAAGAGCAATAAAAAGGTAAGACAGGGATTAAAGTGAAAGTAAAACCTCCCCTACAGCCTGTCACTTATTCATCCGGACATTCGTAATACCAGAACAATGCCTGCATATTTGAGTACCACAGTTTGTCTTCCTGACAAAATTCCTGCCCATTTTCTATCGAAAAAAGAAAGTACTAAATATTTCACACCACGCATGCACATGCAAACAAAGGGTGTGACAACCAACCCTGAAGAGAATGTAACAAGCATCCACAACTGGGTTTTGTTTCCCCGCAACGATGCTGCCAACCACATGTTGTAGCTTAGCTAAGAACGAACATATCTACACTACAGCTCTCCCATCGTACTTTTTGATAGTATTAATAGATTCATTATAAATTCATTGTGTAAAAACTTAGGAGAAACACAGAAGAGCTGGGTTTTTATATGGGAAAATGGAAAGTCTTTTTGCGTCAAAGTCAAGTGCATTACCCCTCAAATGACCCCTTAGATGACCTCTGACCCCAAAATCTAAGTATCAACAGCGCCCTCTAATGAATGTAACAGCCAACCTCATTGTAAACACATTTTTTAAAAAATAACTACTTGAGAGGAAATAAATAAATATATAATATAAGCTTAAGGTAATTAATAATGCTAATCAAAGGTGAAATTATTGGTGGTGTGTAATTACATTTGACCTACAGGGGGCGTACTAACACCACCTGTCCCTTTAATCCCTATGAAATGTTAGAATAATAAACTAAAGGTCTGGTGTGAATTGAGGAGGATCCATTGGCAGAAAATATAATAAGTATGTTTTCTTAGTGTATAATTACTTGAAAATAAAAATTGTGTTTGTGTTACCTTAGAATGAGATGTTCATATCTACATAGGGAGCGAGTCCTCATTCTCAGAGTCCGCCATGTTGCACCATTATGTTTCTACAGTAGCCCAGAATGGACTCAGACTTTTTTTGGCCCAATCCCAATTCCTATCTTAACCCTCAATCTTAATTTTCAAGCTCAACGCTCAATCTCACTAGCCCTTAAAAACCAAGTGTTAGGGCTATCTTGAGACTTAGAAATGAGACACCCCTTAAAGGCAGATACGTCTTCAGACTGTGGGGGGCAGCAATACGCCAAAGCTCCATCCAGTCTGTCAATTCAAAAGAAGAAGAAGAAGAAGGTACATTACGTCATCAGTAGTCGTAGAAGAAGAAGGTTACAGACGAACGATACGAATCATGCCGTCTGCAGCTGCAGCTACAGTAGATGACACTGTGCGGTCATTTTACAAAAATGTCGGTGCAGACATTTCACGTATATTGATTAAACTTAACATTACCACTGAGAAAATGATATTTCGTAACGTTAACTGAACAACAGCTATCGTTATGGCTTGTGTGCACCGCGACGGCTAACGTTAACGTTACTATCGATCGTTAGCGAAAAAATGTGTTCGTGTTTACGCTACAAAGAGGTTTAAAATCCATAAAATGACATTTAACTAAGATATTACAATGCTTATCATAATTTTTAAACTCATATTTGCAAGGAAAATCCTCACAGTTATAAATCTTCTTTTTACCGCTTTCTGCCGCCATCTTGCTTTGAATGAATCCTACGGACTTGGCTGATTTCGGCTGGGCTCAGCCGATGATGCGCAAGGGATTCTGGGATAGCACTCACCGCCAAGTGTGGTACTGGAAAATCTCAGAAGCACGGATTTTCGAGACTGAGTGTTAAGATTGAAGGTTAAAATAGGAATTGGGATTGGGCCTTTGTGCCCAAGGCACACCATGGGGCAAGCCAAAATCTCAAGGCACACCTGTATTTATATCTGTGCACAATAGCTTCTACAAAGTGTGTTATCACTCTCATCATGACATAAGACAATAAAAATAAGAGAAAAATAAGACATACATGTAGAGCTTTCATGATACTGTCTACTGGCTGTCTACTGCTTTGTTGTACACTCACAACTTTCTCCTTTTAAATGTTACCAGCCCTCACACTGGCTGCCAATCAGGGCTTTGATGTGTCACACACTTAAAATTCCAATGCACCAACGGCGATAAATAGGTTCCCTGTGAAGGTTTTTTAAATTAAATTAAATAATTTTTTTTAGGAAATGGGTGCACACAATATACTGATATAGTCAATTAAAAATTAATTCCGAACTTTTTGTATAGACCCAGTTGAAAGTTCGATTATAGGCTAATGTGTGGTTATCACAAATACCCATGGCACACCTGGACTGGCCTCATGGCGTGGCACACCATTTGAGAACCACTGGACAAACCACTAGCTCTGGATAGGGCCATTCACGTTTTCATGTTGGCCACTGAGTTAGCAGCCCCTCCACGATGAGCAGCATTGGAAATATTTTTTTTTTCTTTAACATGCACTTATTTAGTGGAGGAATTCTAACTGGAAGACGTTTCAGCTGGTTGCAATCTGCGATCTTCACCACTAGATGTCACCACATCCCCCTAAATCTTACACACTGGACCTTTAAGATATTTCTTTAGTTCCAAAGATGCTCCCCAGGTAGCCAAAATGACCTGGTCCAGAATCAGCCTGAACTCAGCATGCCGAATGAAATTAGGCAGGCCGGGTCCGGTTGCCTGAATCGGCTGAGACTCAGTATGAATAGCTCCTTTTCCACCAATATTTCCAGGAACTTTTGTTTCCAGGAATGTATTTACCTGGGTCAAAGAATTCCTGGTAATCTGTGTGGTTTTCCACCACACCTCAAAGTTCCAAATCAGGCTGGTGACATAGATGATTCAGTGTGTGCCCTATACTTAGCTCCACCAGCTTGACGGCTACTCTTCCATAGACTCAGTCGTTTCGAGTCGCCGATTCGAAGTCTTGCTGAACTTCCTCCTCAGCAAATACGCTCAAAAGAGTCTGGACCTCGTTGTCCGTCCACTTCTTGTAGGTTCTCTTCTTTTGCTCCATTTTCCAAATGATCAAAACACAAACAAAGTGAAGCTTGTAGGAATGAAATAAAGTTTGCAGCCACACGAACGCGGAAGTGCAGAGCGCTGCAAGTGTCTGTTCCACCGATCAGCATTCTCAGGAATCTGAAAAGTCCTACCCCCTACGAGGTACTGTTTTCAGGGGAAGATTGGAGTTGAAAGTAATTTCAGTGGGAACATGCCAAGGTTTTTCAAACTCCCGGGTAAATGATAGAAGTTCCTGTCCGTATACATCCTATCTATAAATATATTGCAAAATAAAACACACACACGGTCAAATACAGTAAAGCATACGTGCACTACTTGGGCAAATGGAGAAAGAGGAGCCAATTGTGCATTGCATAGAAGAAAGTATAAAGTATTTGGGGGGGGGGGTTTTCTTCTAGATTATGGACTGTTGGGATCAATAGACAGTTGTTGATGACCCACTGGATCCAGTCACACAGCATCATCCCCACCATTCATGACCTATACACTACAGCCACCGTGTGGTGACAAACGGAACTGTCACACGCGTGGATGGCACATATTTTCAAGGCATGCAAGTTGATGAAAGTGTCTGGAGCAGCGGAGGAAGCCCTGGTGCGCCTCGTATGTTTTTCTTGTGCTCACCTCGTTGGTTTTTACGGCGGATGCACGCTGGTATCACAACATCAGAGCTCGCCAAGGGCGCGCGGAAAGTTCACCACAAAGTCTGTGTATGTGTGTGTGTCTGTGTATGTGTGTGTGTGTGTGTGTGTGGTTTGACGCTCATGTGTGCTCAGTCTGTCTGTCTAATAGAGTGACCCCCCAGCGCGCTGTTTAAAGGGAAGACAAGAGAGCTGAGTCAACGAATCACAAGGAGAAGGATGCAACAGTTGATGTGCGCGAGTTGCAGTTTCCGTGCATTTGGAGGCACGCGGAGGATGGTGGCTTTGATCTGTGTGGAGCAAAGAGTGGATGTTTTGCTGCTTTATTAAAACCCCTCAGCTGTCAGATTAAACACAAAGACCCACGCGTTTAGTTCGAGGCTGTCCACTCGCGCGTCTTTCCTGCACCAAAATGGACATTTGGACAGACCCGCATTTGGAGGGACTTCATGCTCTGCTGGAATGAAGTTGGAGCGGGGACTTGGGATGGTCTGCGGCGGCGAGTAGCAGCGCAGTCTTGCACCAACATGCATCGGATTCTGCAGAGGAGGCGAGTGCGCAAGCTGCGGGTCGTCTGGGCTTCGCTGGCCCTGGTGGCTCTGTCTCTGGCCGCATGCAGCGCGCTGTTCACGGCGTGGACTTGGCGACAGACGCGGGACCTGTCCCAGTCCTTTAAGATCCTGCAGGACCGAATGGAGCAGGTTTGTGTCACACTCAAAAAAACCACAATCAAGCCTGCAAACACGCATGCCACGCATATTTGCACCAACGATGATATTTACGCGCCTGTGATTATTACAAAGTGTTTGTTACGTAACTTTTCTTGTGTGGCTGCGGTTACGGGAATCTTCACGGGGGGGATATGGAAAAATGCAATTCCACACTTCACCCCCCCCACAGCCCCTGACCCCCCTTTCTCTCCCGCCTTTGCACGTACTCTATTCTATTGCACCATTTCTCTGCTTGGCACTTTTATTGCTTACCAATAAGTGCAGTCAGGTTGTGTGGAGTTACTGCTTCTTTTTTGCGTCTAGCCCCCCCTCGTGCTGCTGCTGCTGCTCCCCCCGCCATGTTTAATTACTCTGGTGCCAGTAGTGCTCCAGTTTTATCTCAATTTACTGGAAAGCCTCAACTATTTGCCTCTGTGTGCACTTTATACTCAACCGAGCGCGCGGAGGGGAACAGGCTGAGTGATAAAGTGTGGCAAGTGTAAAGCGTTTTGCAACATGCACGGTCACTTCTCCTGCACAGGTCAGGAGAAAGCTCTTTTAAAGTGGTTGAATTTGCAGAAATTATGCGCAGCAAGTAAAATCTGAGCATCAAATACTTTATGTCCTGCATTCTGGTGAGTTTTTACGCACCGATTTGTGCATTTACAGCATCAATTTATGGTTTAAAAGTCTTAAAGGGACAGTTTATTTTCTTTTTAAGTGAGCTTGTATGGGGTCCTTATCCATAGTTAGTATATTACACACATTTGATATCTGGAGTCACGCCCCCAGTTTGGAGAAGCAGGCTGGAGTCCGACGTGGAAGCTGAGCAATGCACTGCTGCGGATGGGGGCCAGTAACAAGGCATGTTTTAGCCACCTAAAAAAACAACATCAGTTTAAATGTGCGCTATATTGAGAGTGTTTTCACTGCTTTACCTTTCCATCAGACCACCCATTTTAACAGGAAAGGCGTTAGCGGCTTAAGTTTCCTGTCTATGTTCTCGTCAAAGCCACCAGACTCCATTGAGAAAAAGAGTAATTTTAGCTTGCTGAACACAGGAGCTGCTGGCCAATGTTGATTCGATTAGCTGGTTAGTTTGTGTTACTGTGTGACTCTGGGGAGTCCAGACAAAGCCATTCAAATGCCGAAGTGACACAAAAACACAAATAAAATAACTGATGAAGGCAGCAGTAGACCAGCAGCTCCTGTGTTCAGCAATGTTAAATCGCTGTTTTTCTCAAAGGAGTCTGGCTGTGAAGAGAACGATGTAACAGCTTCATTTTTGCAGTGGTAATCACTGATTGATATTGAGGTAAAGCAGTGAAAATACTCTCAATAGAGCACACACATGACCCGATGTTGTTTTTTTCCCAGGTGTGCCGTTTCTAGGTCCACAGCAGTAGGTTGCTGAGCTTAAAATCTGAACTGTCCCTTTAAATGCTGTCAAAATAAAAGTCCTTTGCTACTTTCATGTTTTTACAAGGGGGCAAATGCCCATGTTCAAATATTGAGTGTCCCCTGGAATCTGCACCTACACGTGCAGCTCTAATGCAAAGAGCACTTTTGAAGCTTCTTGCACTTGCAGCAAATGTTAAGACTCCAGCACGAGGTTGCATCACAAGGCAAATTCTCTACATGCAGCCAAAAGGAGCTGATGGAAATTCTTCTGGTTTCGAGTTCACAGTATTTACAAAACCAGGTTGCGCTGGATTTGAGATCAGGAGGACAGGTTGGCCGTGTATCATGTTGACAGACCTGCACACACACTCACTCTCTCACATACACACACACACAAACACCCCCCCCCCCCAGAATTGGACACGTGGAGTGTTGATGCTGGAGTCCTTCCCAAGGGGCCCCGTTCTGTCCATTTGACCGTTGGCCAACTCCTGATGAGAGCCAGCGAGTGAACGTCTGGAGAGCGCAGAGCGACTCGCTGCCTCCATTTCCACAGTAGCAGTAAATTTAAACATACTTTCCCTGGGCCACGGTTCCTCTTACTTCATATAGGCCTCCTTCGGTCATTCAGCGGGCCCCCGGCCAAGCTTTTCAAACTTTGCTGGCTTGACAAAAATCGTCTCTTTCTCAGAAATGGGAGTAAAGATGCGAGGAATGCAAAGCACTAAAAACATGCATTAGGTGTCGCAACCACTCTCTGAGGAAGTGGTAGACCTATTCTAAAGCGAGCATGGCAGCAGGGGCAGGATACTGGAAAAGACGAGCCTGTTTATGTGGCTGGCTGGCTGGAAGAGGCTGTCTGTGGCTGTGTGGGATCCACGCCAGAAAAAAGTCATAATAAACTTATTGGACATTTGTTAATAGTGCGTTTTCTCTCCCTCTCTCTTTCTCTCTGTCTCTCAACAGGTCAATACACAGAGGAAGGCCATTGTTCAGCTCATTCTGGAGAAGAGAGAGCTGCTGGTGGGGCAGAGAGTGAAGAGAGACGGTACTGCAAACCCAAAAAAAAAAAAAAAAGTCTTCCACAGCTGCATTTTCTTGACTTCAACACCAGCAGCATGTCGAAGTTTTGTGCTTTTTAGCCGCCCCCGAAATCACCACAGACACAATACTTACCAACTGTGCTCTGTTGTTTTTTTTGGGAAGAACATTTAACACAAACGCTGGCCAGTCTTGGCCCGCATGCCACTTTGGTCGGGTCTAGCGGGCCGCAGGCACAGCCCGCTGCTAAAAGTTGACACAGGAAAAAGTAGGCAGCTGGATGACTGTTTCAGAAATTACAGGTCTGACCAGAACGGCCTCGGAGCCCAGAAAACCAGCTGGCTCGGGAGCGAGGCCTTGTTGCACGCTTTCGGGCAGTGAAATTGATTTTTTTCTGTCCTCCCCCCTGAGCACACGACTGACACAGCTATGATTTGTTGTGAAAGCGGTGATATTTGATGACCTATCATTGCAGTATTTATAGCCTCTGCTTGCGTCACCATCATGGGACTGCTTGATTGTTCACATTTTGTCCGAGAATGAACCCTCAGTCGCTCTTATGCTGGATTTCAGCGCAGGGATGAACGTCCAAATTTGACAAAAGGATTCATTTAGAGAAGTGCATTTCTCGCCAGAATATCTATATTGATATCCTGCAGATATTAGCTTTTTTCTTTAGTAACTGATATCCTGCTTTGTCTTCCAAAACACATTAAAGTGTTCAGAAATTCATGGCTATCGACGGGAATAAAAAAACACCAAACAGCTTTTTCCAGTTTGTGGAAAGTTGACCACCGCGGTGCAGTGTTTCAGCAGGACACTGCTGTTATGTTCTCTCCTGATGACTGACAGCTTGAGTCAGGAAACTCAGGCCAGCCTGAGGGCTTTATGCTCGCCCATAGCAAATCCTAAGTCTACAGGGTCACCCACCTGCGAGTTATTTTAGCAGGGACTTAATATTCCTGTATGACGGCGGGGGGCCCCGGTGTTTGGCTGCTCCGTCTCGAAACATAAAGTATGTATTTCTCAGTTACAGTATTCAGGTTGTATCTGAGTTTCAAATCGCTCCCCGAAGGCCAGAATGCAAAGCTAAAATAAACTTTTAGTGGGTAACAAGAGCAGGCATTCTGCAGCTTTGGCCTTTTAGCGTTGTGTTTTATTTATTGTATTTATTCGAGCAGGGGCCGTAGCTGTTGCCTCACTCTGTTCTTAATCAACTCTTTTGGGACACAGAGTAGCTGAAGAATTTTTGACTCGCTTTTTCTGGCACTTCATTTCTCTAATTTAGTGTTCTTAGCTTCGTCTATAAGGCTTTTTTTAATGAGACACCAGTGGTATTTTCAGCCGTGATTGTGGTACCAAGACCAGCTATTTTAATGGCAGCTGTTCGAGACTAACAAACAACAAAACTGGCTTTTTTTATTTTATCTTTTTTAATCGAGATATAGTGGCATTTCCAGCCATAACTGTGGCACCACAATCCGGTGTTTATTATTTGTATTTATTAGTTTTTTTTGAGACAGCAGCTGTATTTCTAGCTGCAAATGTGGTACCAAATGTTTTGTTTTTTGTAGCGAGACATTGGAACATTTCCAGCTCTGACTGTGGCACCGAAAGTGTTTTTTTTAATGAGGCATAAGGGCATTTCCAGCTGCGACTGTGGCGCCAAAAATGGTATTGTTTTAAGCAAGACATCGCAACATTTTCAGCCTTGATTATGGCACCCAAAGTGGGTGATTTTTAGCAAGTCATTGGCTGCAACTGTTGCACCAAAACTGGGTGTTTTTAAGCGAGACATCACAGCATTTTCTGCTGCAAATGTGGTGCTAGAAATGCTTTTTTTCTCCTTTTTTTTGAGACATCAGCTGTATTTCCACCTGCAAATGTGGTACTAAAACTGGGTGTTTTTTAGCGAGTCATCGGGGCATTTCCAGCCATGATTGTGACACCAAAACTTGGTGTTGTTTAGCGAGACATCAGGGCATTTCAAGTTGCAATTGTGGCACCAAAACTGGGTGTTTTATAGCGACACATAAGGGCATTGCCAGCTGCAAATGTGATACCAAAAACTGGAGGGTTTTTAGTGAGACACTGCAGCATTTCCAGCTCTGACTGTGGGACCAAAAGTGTTTTTTTTAGTGAGGCATAAGGGCATTTCAAGCTATGATTGTGGCACCAAATCTGGGTGTTTTATTGGGAGACATCAGGGCATTTCCAGCCTCGACTGTGGCACCAAATCTGGGTCTTTTATAGCGAGACATCAGGGCATTTCCAGCTGTGAATGTGATACCAAAACTGGGGGTGGGGGCGGGATTTAGTGAGACATAGCAGCATTTCCAGCTGTGATTGTTGCACCAAAAGTGGGTGATTTATAGCAAGACATCAGGGCATTTCAAGCTATTGTGGCAACATAACTTGGTGGTTTTTAGCGAGTCATCAGGTCATTTCCAGCTGCGACTGTGGCACCAAAACTAGGTGTTTTATAGCGAGACATCAGGGCATTTCCAGCCATGACTGTGGCACCAAAACTGGGCATTTTTTAGCAAGACATCAGGGCGTTTCAAGCTGCGATTTTGACACCATAACTTGGTGGTTTTTAGCAAGACACTGGGGCATTTTAAGCTGCGATTTTGACACCAAAACTGTGTTTTTTAGCAAGTCATTGAGGCATTTCAAGTTGCTATTGTGGCACCATAACTTGGTGGTTTTTAGCCAGACATGGGGGCCTTTCAAGCTGCAACTGTGGCACCAAAAATGGGTATTTTAAGACATAACATGATCTTTTCCTAACCATTACCAAGTGGTTTTTGTGCCTAAACATAACCACACTTTAGCCACAGCACTGTTGAAATGTCAGGAAATGTAAAGTCTCAACACTTGCACTACATTATGCTCCCCGTAGGCCAGATTGCAAAGCTAAAATAAACCTTTAGTGTGTAACAAGAGCCGGCGTTGTGCAGCTTTGGCCTTTTAGTGTTGTGTTTTATTTATTGTATTTATCAGAGAAGGGGCCGTAGCTGTTGCTTCACTCTGTTCTTAATCGACTCTTTTGGTCACAGAGCAGCCAAAGACCTTTTTGACTCTCTTTTTCCGGCACTTCATTTCTCTTTATAAAACGTTCTTAGCTTCATCTCTCGAAGCACATTTAATGCTTTCACTTTTCCCCTGCCTATCTTGTCTTTGTCTGCCCCCCCACACAGCTCTCCATCCTCCTTCACTCCATCGCTCTTCTTTGTCTGTATTTTCTAGATGACTGCGACCAGCTGGCACTAAGATTAGCCCCCACAGGCACAAAAAAAAGAAAGAGGCACACGACTGAAAATAACAGTTTGAGGAAATATATTGAAGCACGTGACAGGAAATCCTTTGCCCATCTGCTAACCGCGTTAAAAAGAGCCAGGTTGAATTTAAATGGCTGCAAATTAACACACCGTGTTATTAGACAGATACAGATGGGAATGATTGTTTTATCAAAAAACCACAGACGTTATTTTCTCTGCCATTCATACTCCGTCTCTCCTTGCCTTGTGAAGGGGGAGCGCTGCGAGGGAGGAATGGAAGTGGAAAGAAAGCAGCGTCTCATTTTGAGAGTAAGTAGCTTGGCAGATCCCGTATAGCCGTCTCATGTAGCATCTGCTGAAGTGGTTTCAATCATATACCCCTATACGATTGCACTCATAAAATCTTAATTGACTTTCCCTTTTCTCTCCCTTTCAATGTCTCTTTCACTTTCCACCAGTAACCAAAGTCTCCTCTCAGCAAGGTAAGAGTCGTAAAAATGACGGATGGAAGATAATCTGTGAAATTTTTGTCTCTGAGATGATTTACCTTGGATGACTGTGTGTGTGTGTGTGTGTGTGTGTGTGTGTGTGTGTGTGTGTCAGTTGGAGAGGGAGGCGTGATAAAGGGTTGGGAAGAGAGGACATTGAATATGAGTAAAGCAGTGAGGTACAACAAGGAACAAGGCACCTTCACTGTGGAGAGAGCGGGCGTCTACTTCCTGTTCTGTCAGGTGAGTTTGTGTTGGGAGTTGTAGTTTATTAACAAACTCCAACAGCATCACACTCATCATCCTCACATTACTACGTGTGCACAGACATACTATGTGGTAGTAAATGTTCGTAATTTCAAATTCTTAGTCTTATTCTTTGATCAAACATTTTCTAATTTAACTTGGCTGATTAAAGACTTGCATTTCATGTAGTCAAAGTCCTTGTATGACTGAGATGAGACCATTTCGTCAGTGAGGAAAAAACAGCCCATTTACCTGAAGAAAATGTTGGCATTGTACATATCTGCAAACCACAGATATGTAACAACAAACCGGATGTTTTTAGCAAAACATCCAGGCATTTCCAGCTGCAATTACACCACCAAAACCAGTTGTTGTCCAGTGATGATTGTGTCACTAAAACTGGATGTTTTTCAGCGAGACATCGGGGCATTTAAATGTGGCACCTAAACTGTAATTTTTAGGGATTTGTTGGTCGCATGTTCAGCAGTAATTGTGGCACCAAAAACACTTGTTTTTGTAGCAAGACATCGAGGCATTTCCAACATGGTACCAAAACCAGGTGTTTTTAGGTGACATTGGCAGCATTTCCAGCAGCAATTCACCCTTCGCTAAGCCTCTCCCTTAATCAGTCACTGTCCAATCCTACGTTAGCAACCGTGTTTAGCAACCAAGAGGTCCGTCAAGCTTTCAGCAGAAGCTAATATGCTGAAGCAGCGTGCATATGGTAACGTTACCTTCAAGTCCGACACCTGATACCCAAAAAGTGTCAAAGGTGGTGTTGAATTTTCCCCTTCCCCAAGCCCAAGACCCAAGGAAGATATGGCTACAACAGTGTGGAAGACCACACGAACAGCTGAATCCAGCAAAGATCAATAAAAACACCTACATTTGTTCCAAGTTGAGATGCTAACTAACGTTCGCTAACGCTAGCTTTGTGTGCTAGCTGCTCTCCCAAGGAGGGAACATAACTCAACATTAACTTAAATTTAAACCATATATTGACTTAACCTGATGTACAAGAACATTCTTTGTACTTCACATGAAGTGTCAAAAAGTGGGGTGCAAAACACTTGCATTGCGACTGGTGAGCTTTTCCCTCTATTTTAATGTTCTCATGATTTATACTCCGCCAGCAGATGATAATGTGAATGTAGCTCTCACATGCATATTGAAGACCTTTCTGTCGGCTTCTCTCTGATATCTCCGAACAGTTTTTCCAGAAATTTAATGTTATTTCCTTTGGAATATCTCTCACTGATATCGCTGAAAACTCCATATTTCTTATGCTAGGAGCGAAAGCTCGACGGACGTGGCAACAGTAACAAAGGGGGGCGGGGCTTAGCGAAAGGTCAATTGTGGCAACAAAATAGTTGGTTTTTAGCAAGACATCGGAGCATTTTCAGTGGTGTTTGTGTCACCAGAAACAGTTGTTTTTGCAGCAAGACATTGGAGCATTTCCAGTGGCAAATATGGCACCAAAACCGGATGTTTTTTAGGAAGACATTGGTGCATTTCGATGTGGTACCAAAACCAGGTTTTTTAGGTAGGCATTAGCAGCATTTCCTGCAGCAATTGTGGCACCAAAAATAGTTGTTTCATAGGAAGACATCAGAGCATTTCCAGCAGCGATTGTGTCATCAGAATCAGAGGTTTTTGTAGCAAGACACTGGAGCATTTTCTAGCGGCGATTGTGTCACCAAACCAAACATTGAGGCATTTCTTACAGCAATTATTGCACCAAAACCAGATGTTTTTATCGCAAGACAATGGAGCATTTCCAGCTAAAATACTGTCTCACCAAACCAGATATGTTTGGTAGGTACACATACGAGCATTTCCAGGGGCGACTGTGGCACCAAAACCGGATGTTTTTAGTGAGACATTGGGGCATTTCTATGTGGCTCCTAAAAGGGGTATTTTTAGGTAGACATTGGTGGCATTTTCAGCTGCGATTGTGCCACCAAAACCAGGTGTTATTTAGGGTGACATCAGGGCATTTCCCATCCGCCATTGTGGCTATGAATTCCCCTTCCCTCTCACTTAGTCTGTAGCTCTCTCACAGTCCAACACCTAGCTAGCTAGCTAGCGTATTTATCCACATCATTTTAACCAGGGAGGTTCACCTGGTTACGCTTGCATCTTCGGGAAACACGTTCCCTGTTTAGTATTTAAATATTGAGGTGACCTTAAATTATAGTTTATAGTATGCAAATGCCGCTAGTATCAACTTTTTGTCTGCATTTGCCAGAGCCTCACTGTTCCTACCACAACTGGCATCAAAACAGGAAGGAAGTGGTGAAGAAGTAAAGCCCGCCTCTTGTTTGCTTTGACTGGCTGCCAAGGCCAAGTGTGATATTGACAAGCTAACCGCTCCTTGCATTGAAAAGCTGATGATATTTTAACTGCTATGCACGTCTAAAAACCGCAAGAAAAACATGAAGCACAGCACGAGAGAAGAGGAAAACAATGGTTTTGCTGGTGACATGTTTTCCATCAATGTGTCTTGGTGTGACAAGGCCTTAAACAAGTTTGCTTTTGAATTTGGCTTCCTTAGTTTTTAAATTGAAGTGGTGAAGAAACCAGATTTCATATTTCAAACTTGAGTGAATCGTCTTGGGACGCAGCCTTACTTCTAAGTTTTACCACCTAATGCAGCTTTTTAAAAAAAACAGCCTTTATTTTGTACAAACATCAGTCATGCTGTACTGGTACGTATCATGTTCTTTGGAGAGGTGGATATCAGGTTTTGGGTAATCTCGTGTAGCCAGACCTCGGTCTTGTCAAGTTGACAGAGGTCTGGAGAAAATCTCGCCAAAAGAAAGAAAGAAAGAAAGAATTATGATTGCAGGACCTTGGAAATCCAGCACTTAGTTTTCATTTGAACAGTTGAGAAGAAACAAGTTGTCCTGGTGTCTCTGCTAATCTGTCTCGCTTGATTGATCATCTTCTGCGTCTCCTCAGGTGTTGTTCAATGAGCAGCAGTCTCAGTATGTGAAGCTGGATGTGGTGACCAGCGGCCAGAGGCCTCAGAAGCTGCAGTGCATGGAGGGTTACGGGACGACCCCCTCCGCCGGGCCGCACCCTTTCCACTTCCTGAAGCCCTGCCAGGTGTCCGGCCTCCTGCGACTGGACAAAGGCACGGAGCTGCAGGCCATCACAGGCTCGTCCTTCAGACTCCACACTCTGGGCAACCCGTCAGCCTCGCCTCACATCTTCAGCATCTTTAAAGTCAACTGAAGCGTGGATCCTTTTAACGCAAACTCATCTGAGAACATCAAAACTTCTTGTGTGTCTGGATGAGATCTTTTTTCTATACGGTTAAACAGTCATAAGCAGTCGGGGCATCACATCTGGCCATAGCTGCTTCCCAAAGACGTTAATTTGAAAGACAAAACTGACATTTGTGGAAGTTGTTGTGGAATTTTTTCTCTGGACAGCAGTGCTGTTTTGGAACGCAAAACACAGACTTTTGGATTTAAACCAAGACCTGAAGTGGACGAAATGCCTCGATGAACGTCTGCCGAGAGAACAGATGTGATGGAAGCTGTTTTGTAGATAAAGGGCTTCATATAAAAAGAAAAATACTTGGATGTTCATTTTAGCCTTCGTATCCTGTAATAAATTGTGCTTACACTCTCTTTATAAGACTGACAGTAAAGCTGTGCATGCACCTTCCACTTTTATATCGCCAGTGCCTCGAGGAGCTGAGAGCACGTCCGCAAGCGTCCAATCTAGACACTATAAATGACCGTCATGAGCTGTCAGTGATATTTTATACGTCTGTGTGTGAATCTAATGAATCAAACAGTTCTTGTTTATACTGATTTTATGATCTTTACAATGCAATGTGTGTCTGAGTGTGAAATTAAGTCTTTTTTTAAAACTTTGTATATACGTCACACATATTTTACTCTGCGCATATCAAGTCAGAAGCTGGCAAAAAAGGGGACATTTTAAATAACATGGATGTGAATTTGTGCTCTTTCTTCTAAGGTCAGATTTGACTGTAAGGTATTTGTATGTATAGTACAAGACTTTTGACTTTTTACATAGACTTTTGGAAAGTACTTGCAAGTTTCAGTAAGCAAAGCAAACAGGTATAAATACAATGGTGTCTCTCTTTTCTGCCTTTTTCATTGGTTGAATGGATCGTCAGATAATTGTTAATTTAGTATTAAGAGCTGGTCTTTAAAAAGTACTGGAAATTCCCTCATTCATCCAAAGCTTTAGTGAAAGTAAGGGTGCTTTCACACCTGCCCTGTTTGGTTCAGTCCAATCGAATTGAAGTTCATTTGTCACCTAAGCGTGGTCCGTTTGGGCAGGTGTGAACACAGCAATTGCACTTGGGTGTGCGCCAAAACAACCGGACCGAGACCTTCTTGAAGAGGTGGTCTCGGTCCGCTTACAAATGAACTCTGGTGTGGTTCTTTTGTGGTGAGAACGCGTTCCGACCTCGAGCCGAGGTACTGCCTTAATATGCACATCCGGCGCATCCAATGCATCACAACATTGTTTTCTAGTTGGAGCCGCGCCTCGTTTTCAAACTGTATGGATTGACTAAAATGAACAATGACAGCAATATAGTCCACGATGAACAGCGCTAAAATCAACCTGCGTAGTTGTCCCTCCATTGTGACATTACAAAGTGTCGCATTAATCTTGCAAGTGTACTCTTCTTCAACGTTTTGTTTACTTTCTGACCAATCAAGAGCAGCTTTCTCACACAAGGCATTTGATCTGGTCCGCTTGTAAATGCTGCCGTGAGAACACGAACCAACTCTAGGCAATTATACAACTTTGTAACAAATTAAGTCCCTGATTTGGGCCAAAGCAAGACAACTCTAGGTCTGAAAGCACCCTTAAAGTTGATTTTAAATAAAAAAGATACAAAGACTTTGTATTTTTTTTTTTTTTTTTAAAAAGAACATTATCCAGAACTTTCTGTCAAGAGAAGTCTTAATATTAGTGTTAGTACTATGGCTTGGTAATATATCGATACTGTGATATGAGACTTGTGGCAGTCGGTGTTACAGTGTTTGAGGCATACACCGATTACATTACTTGCCCACTGCCGCCACCATTTCATTTTTTTTTTTTTTACTAAACGACAGATACTACTTAACTGAAAGTGTTTTCTCAGTACAGCAGAGATGCAGCTCACTTATCATTACAAGAGTAAGAAGAGTTGACGGACAAGATGATGGTGGAGGATTTGGTGTCAAAGCAACAAGCAGAAACGCCTCTTTGGCAATATTTGAGATGTAAACCCTATCTTAATTGGGAATCTGATGACGTTACTGATGAAAACGGAGTTGATTACATCCATTGATGTATATAGAGAACTGGATATAGCATCAGAGGCGGGCCTTGGCACATGACGAGTTTGACTTCCTGGATCTTCTGCAACCTTTGGCAATCGAGTAAGCGCACTAGAAACTTCGGCTGGCCGAGCTGCTAACTTCCAGTTTAGCCTTCTGCTAGCTTGATGTGGCTCTTCTAGACTTTTGAAAAGTTATTGGATCAAATTCCAATAGTGAAACAATATTCGCAGGGGTAAAATGTGATGACTTACAGACGTGTCTTTCACAATGTAAGTCTACGTAAAAAAAATCTTTTGGGCTCAGTGGCATCACATGACAGACTTGCAATGACACGGTTTGGCCGCTATGTCCAATTATCTTGAATACCAGGCGCACTTAGCAGAAGAAGATATACTTCATGAATCCAAGATTAATCCCAATTTTTTTCACTCTATTGTCATATACATACGTGCCTGAAATACACACACATGCACGAACAGGACCTATACATGCATCAGACGAAGAGATGTCAGCGTTAGGGGGCTGCCAATAGACAAGCACCCCGGGCAGTTGGGAGTTTGGTGCCTGCAGTGCCCAGGAGGCAGGCTGGCACTCTCCAGCTACCAATCCACACTCCATATTTGGTCCGGACGGGTACTTGAACCAGTGACTCTGGTTCCCAACCCAAGTCCCTATGGACTGACCTACTGCCGCCCTTTCCTGTAGGGCCTGGTGGCATCCCAGATGTCGTCTTAGATTTTGGATGTCATAATATCGTCACTGTTGTCTTTTCCTGGTTTTTAAGAGTCCATTACAGTAAAGTGATGTCATTTCCTGAACTTACCAGACTATTCTAGCTTTTCTATTGTTTGCCTTTACCCACTAACTCATTACATCCACACTTCTGATGATTATTTATCAAAAAAGTCACTGTGAAAGCACAAAAAATTAACGCTACATTACTGTCAGACTATCGATAAAGGAATTTAGTCAAAAATATCATGATATGTGATTTTCTCCATATCACCTGGCCCTTATTTTACCAGTATAAAGAAGAGTGTTAATATAAGCCAGTAACAAAACAAGAGCAGCAGTCTGATGTACAATACTGACACTAATTTACACAAATAATTTATAGTCTATGCTCACAATGACAACGGTAACATGCTGATGGTTAGCAGGTGTTATGTTTACCACGTTCACCACCTTATTTTAGCAAGCTAAAGTGTTGCTAGTTAGCATTAAACACAAAGTACAGCTGAAGCAGATGGGAGTGTGTTTGGTTTTGAAGGTGTTTGGACATGAACCAAAAGACTGGAGAGATAAAAGTATATTTAGTATGTTTTTGCCCTTGAATGACTCGAATTAGTTTCTAATTTAGAAGTGAAACATTTGTCCTGACCTATGAACAGCTCTGAAAAACATGGAAAAGATCCAACCTGCACCCATGAATTTGGAAAATGACTCCATTTATCTAAATTATACATCGTGATAGTCTCACAGACAATAACTCAGAAGTTCTGGTTTTATAATTTTGGAAGTTTAAGAGTTTAAAATCCAAGTTAAATCCAAGATTCATCGTATAAAGTGACTGGCTTTTTGTTCTGAAAGGTTTCTCAGTCACGTTGCAACTTTCTGTCACTTTATTTTTATCTCTTTTTCGAAATGACACTCCATCTTCCATTCTCTCATATGCTGCTGCTGCTTTCTGTAATATTCCCCGCTACAATACAAACAGTGTGTATTTCTAGCAGTGGGTTCAGCACTCCCACTCTTGTTTATAAGTAGTTTTTGTGGACGGACCGCAGTGGTTTCTCCTCAGCACTTTACTGCAGCGAACGTAGTGTTTTTAATTGGAGCCAAACATTCATGAAAAATGTCAAATTTTGAGGTGTAGACGTTAAATCCTGTTTGATTTCCTCATCGTTTTCCTCTTCCCTTTTGTGTCTCACTCATCCCCCCCACCCCCACACACACCCATACACCCCCTCACACCCCGTGCACCTCATATTTCCCTGTCAGCACCGATCAGACCGCACACACACACACAAACACACACACACACACACACACACTGAGTCCCCTGAGTGTCCTCTGCACACACACCAGAAGCCATCTAAATTTTCACTTCCTGAATTTGAACCTGAACCACATAGCTGAAGGTCTTTGAGGAAAAACATGCCTCGTCCCTCCACACAGACACACACACCCACACACACACACACACACACACACACACTTCCCTGCCCCGATTCCTATATTTCGAAATGTCAAAGTTTATTACCACCTCGGAAAATCTTGTGAAGTCTTGTGAAGAAGCTCTCTGTAAAGTGATGATGTATGCAACGCCTGGACGTTTCTTTTTTATTATTTCTCCTGAACTCACTCATCATAAATGTTAAATAAACTTTTTTGTTGTTGTTGTTTTGGAAAAGTTCTTCAAAATTTCTTTAATGAAAAGGCCTAGAAAACCAGCCTGCGTGCATACCTCTAAAAATGAAGGGGAGCAGAAAATGTAAAGTAGTGAGTTATCAAAATGTTATAAGGTGGAGTGTATTGGATGGGAATTATCTATAAAAATCTAATTAATCTAAATCTGATTTGAAGCTAATCAGTACTTTGTCACAGTATCAGAATTAGATACTGGTTTACAATTTGGATTATTGGTGCATAACATAAACATAGTAAGAGAAAAAGAAAATGAAAGTAAGTATTGCAAAGAGACATTATTATAGAAAAGAAGAAAAATACAATACAAATACTAAAAAAAACAATAAAAATATATGTACAATAAATCTGAGTACGTGTTAATAAAAGGTTAAATTATGTGTAATGTGAAAGGAGTTGCTCTGACAGTAAATACGAACCTACAGATCACTATCACTCTGCTCTATGGAGCATTTTAGCATCTTAAAACTAATAATCTGTCTTGGTTTAGCAGCCCCTATTGTTACTGTTTTTGTTCACTCTCTCAGCTCTCATCAGCATAATGTTTAACTGTGTTAAACCCACTACTGTACGCTACCCGCCCAGCACCAAACGGCAGACTGTCAACATTAGCGACAGCTTCCCTAAGGAGCTAGTGGGGACCAAAACAGAGCTAAAAAGGGACAGTACTGTGCCGACACTCGTAAGGTAGGCACAAACATCAATCAAAACAAATGCTAATGTTGCTCCGTATCTGCTGGATGTATAAATGGCAAATTTGCTGACACAATAACAACTTAAGCAGCCCGCCCTCGCCAAAAAAATGACTATGTAGGTTGTCAAGCAGCTCATTACGACCCATATCTACACTGCCTGGCCAAAAAAAAAGTCTTTAACTAAGCAAATAGGTACGAGCCTCCTATTGGATAATTACTGCATGGGCGATTATCTTTCAGCTGGCAACAAGTTATTTAACCCCAACTGGTGCAATGAGTTGCTTCTCATTTCCTAAACAACCATGTCGAAAGACACATCCCGTGGTCGTGGAAAAGATGTTAGTCTGTTTGAGAAGGGTCAAATCATTGGCATGCATCAAGCAGAGAAAACATCTAAGGAGATTGCAGAAACTACTAAAATTGGGTTAAGAACTGTCCAACGCATTATTAAAAACTGGAAGGATAGTGGGGACCCATCGTCTTCGAGGAAGAAATGTGGCCGGAAAAAAATCCTCAATGATCGTGATCGGCGATCACTTAAACGTTTGGTGAGATCAAATCGAAGAAAAACAACAGTAGAACTCAGGGCTATGTTTAATTGTGAAAGTAAGAGCATTTCCACACGCACAATGCAAAGGGAACTCAAGGGATTGGGACTGAACAGCTGTGTAGCCTTAAG